GCTCCCTGTTCAGCACGGAGTCTGCTTCTCCCTCTGACCCTCCCCCCTCTCATGTGCTCTCTCTCTCTCTCATTCTCTCTCTTTCAAATAAACAAATAATCTTAAAAAAAAATGTAGAATCCAGAACTCAACTTCACATATACAGTCGATTGGTTTTCAACAAGGGTTGCAAGACCGTCCAGTAGGGGAAAGAATAGTCTTTTCAACAAATGGTTCTGGGACAGCTGGATATCCATATGCAGAAGAATTAAGTTGGACCACACCATACACACAAAAAATTAAGTCAAAAAAGGGGCACCTGGGTGGCTCAGTGGGTTAAGCATCTGCCTTCGGCTCAGGTCATGATCCTAGGATCCTAGGATCGAGCCCTGCATCGGGCTCCCTGCTCTGCGGGAAGCCTGCTTCTCCCTCTCCCACTCCCCCTGCTTGTGTTCTCTCTCTCGCTGTGTCTCTCTCTGTCAAATAAATAAATAAATAAAATCTTTTAAAAAAAATTAAGTCAAAATGTATCAAAGGCTTAATGGTAAGAGCTAACAGTTTAACCGTCAGAAGAAACGTAAGTCTATGGGGCCCGAGTTAGGCACAGCTTTCCTGAGATACAATGTCAAGAGCACAAGCAACGAGAAAAAAACAGATAAATTGAACTACATCAAAATTAAGCCTTCTTGTGCTTCAAAGGACACCATAGGTAAAGCAAAAAGATAACCCGCAGAATGGGAGAAAACATTTGCAAATTATACGTCTGATAAGAGAATTACATGTAGAATATACAAAGAACGCTTACAACTCAAAAAGATGACAGGTAACTTGATTAAAACCAGACATTTCTCCAAGGAAGACACACAAATGGACAACTGTCACATGCAGTGATGCTCAGCACAGTCAGCCACCAGGAAATCAAAACCACGGAGATACTACCTCCCCCTGCAGGATGGCTGTAGTCAGACAGGTAGATAATGACCAGGGTTGGGTGGGTGTGAGAAATCAGAGCCCTCACACACGGCTGCTGGGGACTCGAGGTGGTGCAGCCACTGCGGGGAACAGTCTGGCGGGTCCTCAAAAAGTTACACACAGAGTCATCCTATGACCCAGCGGTCCCACCCCCATGTAGATACTCAACAAAAATACAAACACGTCCAGATAAACACTTGTGCATGTGTTCATGGCAGCATCATGCATAATTGCCATCAAGTGAAAACAGCCCGAATGTCCTCCAACTGATGAGTGGGTGAACAGAACGGGGCGCACCCATGCACTGGAATGTTACCTGGCCGTCCAGGGAATGAAGCACAACATGGCTGAATTATGAAAATATTCCTAGGGAAAGAAGCCATTCACAGTAGATGATACACGAGTTCACTGACATAAAATGCCCAGAAGAAGCAAATCTATAGAGACAAAAAGTAGATTAGTGGTTGCCTAGGGTTGGGGGCTTGAGGGGAAATGGGAAGTAACTGCTAAGAGGTTCAGGGTTTCTTTGGGGATGGCAAAAGTGTTCGAAAAGTGACCGTGGTGATGGCTGCACAACTCTGTGAAAATACTGAAAACTATTGAATTTTACAGTTTAAACGGGTGAATTGTATGATAGATAAATTATATCACAATTTAAAAAAATGAGCAGGGGCACCTGGGTGGCTCAGTCGGTTAAGCAACTGCCTTCGGCTCAGGTCATGGTCCTGGAGTCCCGGGATCGAGTCCCACATCCGGCTCCCTGCTCAGCGGGGAGTCTGCTTCTCCCTCTGACCCTTCCCCCTCTCATGTGCTCTCTCTCGCTCTCTCAAATAAATAAATAAATAAAATCTTTAAAAAAATTAAAAATTAAAAAATTAAAAAATGAGCAAAGCCTCAGTGACCTGTGAGACAGTCTCAAATGGTCTAACGTACATTTAATCAGAGTCCCTGAGAAGGAGAAAGAGAATGGAGCAGAAAACAATTTGAAAAAATTCATGTCTAATTTTCCCTCAACATTTGGTGAAACCATCAGCCTACAAATTCTAGATGGAAAACCTAGAAGTCACACATGATGACCGAGCTTAATCTGCATTAAATGAAATAACGTAAACCCACACTTTAATCCATCCCAGTGAAACTGCTGAAAATCACAATGTTGTAAAAACAACCAAGGCCGGTGGAGGAGAAAACCTGTCACCTAACAGGAAACAGGAATAGAAACGATGACTGACTTTCCCTAAGTAAAAGGGGACAGGAAGACCCTGGGACCATTACTTAAAAGTGCTAACGTGCTAACCCGGGAGCAATCTTTCCAGGGACAGTAGCTTGCAAAACAATGATGAAGTGATGACGTTTCCTCACTTGACAGGTGGGAGGAGTTCTCACCGCACTTCTGTGACAGCTCGAAATCAGGTCTGCAAATCCCCTCACGCCCTCCCATCGCGGGGCTGCGTCCCACCCCCCTCTCCTCGGAGACGGGCCTTACCGATGACTGGCTCCCACCAAATACAATGTAGTAGCAGCGACGCCATGTGGTCTCCAAGGCTAGATCCTAAGAGGTGATATGGGTTTCCCCTGACTCTCAGGACATATGCTTTTTGGGTCAGGGAAACTCGTCATATCCAAACTCATCAGAGGTCTGACTGCCTCGAAGCCACCATGAAGGAGACCACGTGAAGGCACCACACAGAAATACACAGAAATGCTGAGGGGCATTGCGCGGAATCCTGAAGGCAAGAGTCCTGGAACATCTTAGAGGCTGCTGATGGCACTGGACGAAGCCCAAGCAGGAGAAAGGAACCGCATGGAGGACCAACACTGCCTGGTTTCAAGACCTACGACCCGCCAAGGCAGACAAGTTTGGTAGGAACATCAGGATAGAAGACTGGCTCAGTGGGAGAAAGTCCAGAGACAGGCCCACACACATATATGGACAA